CTCAATAACACCTTAGCCCACTGCAATTATGCTCAATGGGTACAATCTTGTTAGCCAAAAATAGAAAATCCGTGTGCTCACAAACCTGACTATATATATCTGAGGCATGTACCTGGCAGGGTAAGCTGTTTCCTCCAAGCTCCAGCAAGTGCAAATCTCTTCAGTGACTTGATTCCTTCAAAACCAGTTTCTTTGCACAATGGGCGTTCTTTGTCAGGGGTGAAGCTTCCCTTAGTCAGTCAGCTCATGAGAAGTCTTAGTCTTCTGTGGTTTTGCTCGCTGTCGTTCAAAGTTTAAAGTGTAAGTGGTGAAGGATAACTGGGCCCACCAACCTGCCTGAGTGAGGCAGCCACCCCTTGCTGAGCAGCCAATCTGACCAGAGCAGGCAAGTGGCACTCAACTGAAAAGAGGTCTGAAATGAAAAGTGGGTTCTACTGAAAAGGGGGCAGGCAGAAAAAGATTTACAGAAAGGTGGGCAGCGTGAAAAGGAATAGAGGGGGATCAAGCTTAAAGGATGTTGTCATCAGGGGCACTGGAAGGTTCCTGAGGAATGGACAGACCAAACTGGGTTACAGAGGGCTGAATCACTATGAAATGTAAGGTGTGTTAGGGATGGAGAATGATCAGGTGAACTGAGTAATGGACAGTGAAAAGGTCAGGCAAAGGGGTTCTGAATGGGTGTAGAATCAGGGGAAGAGAAGAAACATCGAGGGGAAATGCCACAAGGGCTATTAGTCACGTGGGAGATTGAAGAAGGAAATAAGGGATGCCAATTGAAAGGAGAAGGACATCTACGTCTAATAACACCAACATCCTATTTACTAACCTTTACAAGAAGGAAACCTAAGAATCAGCATCAGCATAGAGGGTTTTGTGGCACAGTGATTGTATCCTTACCTACAGACCTGAATATCTGGGTTTAAGGCCTGTCTCAGGAAGTGCTAGCCACAGAAGAGTGTCAAAGCACGTTCAGAGATAGTAGGAACTGCAGATGCTGGAGAATCCGAGACAACAAGGTGCAGGGCTGGATGAACACAGCAGGCCAAGCAGCATCATAGGAGCAGAGAGGCTCTTCTCTAGACCCTTCATCAGAAAAGCCTTTTCTGATGAAGGGTCTAGGCCCGAAACGTCAGCCTCTCTGCTCCTATGATGCTGCTTGGCCTGCTGTGTTCATCCAGCCCTGCACCTTGTTGTCTCAAAGCACGTTCAAATAGGTTGTCTTTAAAAAACAAATCAGCAACAGTGTTGATGGTGCAGGGAAGGTCTCTCCAGAATCAACTTTCATTTCCATATGCTTCTGAACACTAAGGACACAGGGATGAAATTGTCGTGCAGACTGTAGGACTGTATCACAGGGGATAATAGAAGCTATCATGAGTCAGATTGAGCTGATTGCTTTCCATGGATGTGGCAATGTGAAGATCAAGGCCACAAAGATCCTGCATGTGGCAGCATCAGGAAGGGGAAAACTACCTACATGTCATGGAGGATCCATCATTGGGCAGGATTTTACATAGCACCTGAGTAGCCTCATAAGGGCCCAAAGCACAATTTGACCATATCAAGATCTGAAGTGGAAAACAAATATTTCATTCCTGATATTTCTTTACAAATCAGCACTTCCAGACCAGGCATTCAACCAAGATAACCCAGTAGCTGCGTTAGCTTTTCTATGGATAAGGAGGAGGAGGAAAAGGGATGAACAACACCAACAGAACCAGGGACACAAAGCTTAGCGGGGGGCTGCAGCTGTGGATGGGTAAATAACACATGAAGTAGAGAACCAGGGTCTTCAGCAGCACTGAACAGACTACCCACAGAGGGTTTATCAAAGGCATCAAAGCTAACTGTATATGAGTGAAAAAACACATCCAGAGGCTTCCTTTATGACTAGAGAAGCTGTTAGTTACATTTGACACCTCCTACAGGCAGACCCGCAGCAGTGCTATCCCTTTGGCATAGGAGATTACAGCAGCACTGAATTTCCTTGCCACAGGCTCCTTCAAACCTCACCTGGAGACCTTGGTCTCATCTACCAATCAGCAGCTCATAAGCATGTTTGTGAGTTCACTGATGCCCTTTGCAGGAAATAATACAGTTTGTCCACTTCACTGTGGACTCAGAGAGCCAAGGTGTCCCCAGCATCATTGGGGTCCCTCAGAGGGCCTAAGGGGTAAACAATTTCATTCCTCATTCCCTCAATATCCAGCTGATTTATGACCACAGGCAGCAAGTCCTGCAGGTGTGCGCCCCGCTCTCCAGGGAGCTGTCACAACACATGTTTTGTACAACTCCCAGTTTCCCTGAGTGTTTGTACCCTTTGCATGATCTCCAGGGCTGGCTCATAGGTGACAATGGGTACATCCAGTTCTCCATCAGTCCTCCAAGTGTCAGAAACCTTGGCTGTTTCTTCCTCCTTTAGCTGCAGGCCAATGGTAGTACTGTGCTCACCAGAATGTGACCCCAAGCCTAATCTGGATACATTGTCAGCCAAGGTGAATGTGTCTGCATTGGTGGAGGGTGGGAGGATGGTCTTGATGTTGTATCCTCTGAGGTTCATGACTGTTGCTCTTCAGAGGTGTGCTGTGAGGTGCTTGCAGTGATGGGCCTGGAGGCCAGGACTGTTCTTCTTCTTTTGGCCCAGGCTTGGGAGTGGGGTCCAGAAGTTGTACCTAAAAGCAAAGACTTGCTTGTCATACGATCTGTCGCCCTCACACAATGTTTCATTAAGACATTTTTTTTTTATGTACAGCTGGGGACGAACATATTGAAGGCTTTCTCATTAAATACAATCCCCTCTTCAGCTCAGACATGCTTCTCATACTCACTTGCCAGCTCAGTGGCCTGCTCCTCAAAGATGGTCAGGAGCCTTGTATCAGAGAGTTTTCCTCCTGCCATCTATCTGTGTGCTCATACTTTTTATTATGCATGTTCTTCTCTTTCAGGAGAGTAGCATTAAGAGACATTAGCATGGCTATTTTAGTGTTTTGCCTGTAGTGACAGATATAGATAGAGGTGCCAATCACCAGAGCTGTGATTGTTTGTGGACGTTACTGGTGAAAAAAAAAGTGTGGTGTGGGTGAAGTTGGGAATTAAAGGGTCTGGAAAATGATTCAATGTCATTCAAGAGGTAGAGCTTACGCAAGTTGATAAAGCATTATATGGCCTGACGTACCAGTGGGGTGTTCATCTCAAAGCCATATTTTGTGGCTGTGTCCTTGTCCCATGCAAGCCTTTGGTGAAAAGTTATCAGCTGTGTATATTCTCCGAGTTGGGATGAAAGGACAGTGAGTTGGTGAGGTGTGAGCTGTTGAGTGTTGTAGCTCCTTTTATGGTTTAAACATGAACACGAGCAGATGTGTGAGAGGCAATTGCATTCTGGTGCAAGTAATGCTGCATTGGTAGCAGAAATGAAGTGACAGACATTGACTGCACATGAGGCATTTGATGAAAATACTTGGCGATTCATCTTATGTGTGATGATCCTGCACAGTGGCAAGCTTAGAATGCTAACTCATGCTCATGGAGTCGTGAAGCATTGAGCAGACAGTGGTATATATGCCAAGTGAAGTGCCAAACAGATCATTCATTCGCTTGAGACAAGTGAGCCAAGTTCTCTTAAATCACCCATGGGTGCTGATCTCCGCAGCCTCTTCTGTTCAGAGTGCCCTCATCAGTTAGAATAGCTTCATTGCCATCTCAAGAGAAAAACATTTCCTTTCTCTCTCTCTTGGGCAGTGTCCTGGAGAAACTCTACTGAGGCGTTACAGAATCATGCCCGCTTTTTGCTGGGTCTTTGACATCTGACAGCAGAGTACAGATGAGAGATGCTACTGGATTGCAGAAAATGAAGTGCTGTCCTGGTATCTCTTAAGCATGGTGCCTGGAATTTGGAACCTGGAAGGTCCTGGCAGTTGTGACAGGCAGAACTTCATGTCTGCCTACCCACTGGGACATGAATAAGTTAAGAAAAATGTAACTGCAAGAAAACCTGACCCACCCCTACATAAAAGTACCTCCTAATTTTAGGCCTGCTTTCACACTTAGGCTCAAAAAAAAATTATGCCCATGGACTCAATAGATTAGGTGTGATGGACTGGATAGATTTTTCTCATGTTCTTAACTTTTTAACAAATTCAGATTTATTGCTAGCATTCCAGCTTAAAAGAATGAATGCTAGAAACATTGATGACGCAATCAATTTACCATACCAACAATCCTACTGATAAAATAACCAGTTGTTGCACAATGAAAGTTCCTAAGCTACTGCTTTGCAAAATAGCAAGGTACCAAACGAAAGCATGCCTGGCTTACAAAATTCTACAGGAGCAGTATTGGTATTTGGGAATTACATTATGCAATTCAGAATATATTCAAAATGGTGCTGTTTCATTTTATAATGATTTCATTAGTTTGACTATTTATCTATTTGTCTGGTGCACAAGTACTTCAGAGATACACCAAAATAATATTTGGACAAAGGGCATCAGCTATGTTGTAGTGGACAATATACAACAAAAATCTGAGGATATTAGATCACATGACAGAATCAGCATCATCACCACGTTATTTTCAACTTGAACAAAAGCTGAAATATATTGTAAGTTACTGCAGACTTTTAGAGTTATGGCTACTGAAATACATTCAAGGAAATGTCTGAGGGATCCTACAACATAACAAGGTAAATATTGAGTTTTAATAATGCACAGCATATCCTATACAATAAGCAGTCAAAGGTCAAGTCATAACCTGAACGTAAACAAAATCCCTTTCTTCCCATTTTCCGATGGAGGCAGTGGCCCTGTGAATAATCACTGATCCAACAAATCATTTTCAAAGAATACCGACAAACACAGTTCCACCTTTCACATCGGCATATTGAGATATGCTAAAAGAAATCTAAATGCTCTAAATATTACGATTTATTTGAAACATACTGTTCAAAAATATAAAACTTTGAACTAAATGCTTGCAGAAGAATTGTGATAGTTTAAATTTTGTACCTTGGTGGAAATGATATCTCTTGTTCACTCAACTTGTCTTTGAATACCGACAACTCTCTGTCAAATTCTAAAAGCTGAAAAGAAATTAATTAACAGACAGTTATTCTTACAGCATCTTGTACTTAAGGCATTTCATTAATCCACTGAACAGACTCATTTAAATGTCTTTACTCAGCGCCAGATTTCTCCCCTACCTTGTCCTCCAGAAATTCTTGGTGTCTTGATGGTGCATGGTTGCATTTATCACTCACTAAGCGTTGACCATTTTTGGAATATGGAGGACACCACAACAAAGCTCAATCCTGTCTCCTTCTGATATCCATGTACAGAATATAGTTATCAGAAGAACCATGGCTAATTTCCTCCGTGTCAACTGACAGATGCAGAGGACAACAGAGTTTTGTCTTGTCTGCTATATTGTTGGACGAAACCATCCAGCAGTTCCAATAAGGATCAAACCATGGATCATGTGATCTCAGACTGTGCAACTCACTGAACAAATTGTTGAGCCAGTAGAACATACTAGTCAATATTTTACTGGGAATTCGACTTACTTTACCTCTTTATAATAATATATATTAACATCCATGCTTTCACAACAAATGTTGCCGACTTTTTTCCTTTCCAAATTTGTATTTATATTTACTTTTACCTTTTGCTCATTATTTTTACACTTCCATTTTGTAATACTGAATGGCCTCATGTCTGAAAATTCTACACCCAATATTTTACAGGATAAGACCCTTTTCCCATTGGTTAGTTCTTCACCAGTGCCAATGCCAAAATGAACACTGATTCAAAGTAGACAACAAAACCTAAATCAGGTGATTGACTGGTAAAATCCTCAAATACTGCGAAATGCAAACAACTCTTGGTAATAGCTAATGCGCAGGAGCAGTCAAAATTTCCTGCGACTTTAAATGATAAATTAAAATCAGTGCTTGAATCAGGCATGTAATTCAATTTAAAACTTCACACAGCACAAAGCAACTGGGGGAGGGGTAGTTCTCATTACAAACCTTATGGGATTTAGATAGTAACATTCAGTTTGGTTTGTGATGACCTGAACTGAATACAATCTCAAGTCTGAAATTATAAACAGGGTTAATGATATTCATTTTCTACACATAATATGGCTTTTGTGCATTATTCTCCCATTTAAAGAGTACAAATGTATTTTCTCAACTTTTACTGAAACCCAAGGTTAGATCATAGAGCTATTAGCTGGTTTTGAACAAACAGCCATTCAAATTGTTACAAACAGCATTATCTTTGCATCAATATTTGTTCTTATCCTGGATTCTAAGTGAATAAGTGACTGAATGCTCATAATAATCCGTTCTGCTACTGACCATCACTCTTTGTAAGTGCCATTTCCTATTCCGACAAGTATGTCATCAAAATAACACCTTTTATGACTACAGCGTGTTTACGCTACTGCCCATTAATCATCTCTCATCTCACAGCTGTGCTGATACCATTGTATGGGTGGCAGAGGTTCTGATCTAAATTAGATTATGTCCCTCTATCCCATGCCACCTCATAAATCATTCCTGAAATGCAAAATTAGCAGCTACTTGTATGCATTAATTATCTGTACGAAAGCAGTCACCTGAGCCACCTGCAAGGATGACCAGTTCTTCCACCTTTCCATTTAGAGTCAGGAACCAAAGTCCTTCTTATTTGTAACACGGCCACATTGTTCAAACATTTTCATTGCTTTATCAAATATGGACCTATCACCTCCATTGAACAAATGTCTTCAAAATGTATAACTTCGAATGAAAATGTGACCAAGTGCACTCTTGTTTTGAACATCTTTGAATTCAGACAGTCTCTGGCCTCGATGTTATTGTCAGTGAGATTGAAGCTTACGTAGGTTTAAACTCAGTTAAGTAGGTTTAAACTTACTCAGACTGAGTACACTGACCTAAAGCCACGCCCCTCCCACCAAACAACATCACAATTTGTTTGATTTTAAAACCAGTTGAGATTTCAACTGGAAAGCAATACTTGATGACTTGATGTGCCATTTTATGATTTTTATGATGAGCTGGGGAATTCTGCCTGATATTAGACCCAACAGAGACAGGTGGTAGGAATACCAATTGCGAAGTCCAAAAAAGAATTGCAGTGGAATCGTTATGAGTCAGGAGTAGCAGGAAAGTTCGACCTAGGCTCTTCAGGAAGTCTTCAGTCATCCTCAAGCCATTTTCCCAATGACTACCAAAACCTTTGCCTAGTGATAACTATATACCAGAGGGGAATATTTCATGTCTTAAGGCTCTGACCCAATTATATATGCTCTCAGCCGCTGACATTGTCATTATCAGGAGACAAGATAGTCTGATATTATTTCAAGAAAGGCCAAGAGTTAAACCCAATCCCAGAGCTGACTCACCCACAGGTGTTTCCAGCCTCGCCACACCCTACCTGGCTCCTAACCAATCCCAGTTAAAATCAAAGTCTATATGTTTGAATAACCATATTAATTTTTTTTTTCCTTTATTCATTCACAGGATGAGGGTGTCACTAGCTAGGCAACATTTATTGCCCATCCCTAATTGCCCAGAGGGCAGTTAAGAGTCAACCACATTGGTGTGGGTCTGAAGTCACATGTAGGCCAGACCAGGTAAAAACAGCAGTTTCCTTCTCTAAAGGACATTAGTGAACCAGATGGATTTTTCCTGACAATTGATTCATGGCCATCATTAGAGTCTTAATTCCAGATATTTATTGAATTCAAACTCCACCATCTGCCATGGTGGGATTTGAACCCAGGTCCCCAAACATTATTTGGTTTTCTGGATTGACAGTCCAGCGATAACACCACCAGGCCATCGCCTCCCCACTGAAAGTGATGACAATTATACTGATATTCAAGTGGATGTCATGACAGAATGAAATGTGACCTGATTTGAACGTCGTCCAATGATTCAATGTTGGATGAGCAGAAATTTCCTCCAGTTAAATATTGGGAAGACCAAAGCCATTGTCTGTAGTTCTTGCCCCAAATGTCAATCCCTATCCATTGATTACATCTCCTTCTAACATTTGAGGCACACAGGCTGTTTGCAAACTCAGCATGAAAAATCTTTTTCACCCTGAACTGAGTTTTCCTCACTAAGACTACTTGCTCCCACTCTGTAATAAAGCTTTCTTCACCTCTGCGTCAGTCAATATGCAGCTGAAGCCAAGTCTTTAGTGCTACCAGACTTGATTCATCCATTCTCCCTTGGCTTGCCTCCCATTCATATCCCTTAAACAGGAGTTAATCTAAAACTTTGCTACCCATAGTCTAACATGAATTGAGTCTTGTTCTTTCATTATCCCTGCGACTTAGGTTGGCTTCCCGTCGAGTAAAATCTCAAATTCACATCCTTGTGTTCAAATCCCTCAATTATTTGCTCCTTCCCGTCTCATGCCCTCCAGACCTACAACCCTCTGAAGACTGAGAGTTCCCCTGCGAACTGAGTTCCCCCATTTCTGGTCTCTTCCACATCATCTAATTCTATCAGCTACATAAATGTGTGTTGTTAATTTGAATCAGCAGTGATTGATTTTAAATTTTTAATCATTAATAGCAACTAAAGTAGGAACGAAGTAACATATATATGAATTTATTTACATTATAGGTATAATTTCACATATACCTTTGCCATTATGTTTTGTTCAGATCACTGAAAGCAGCATTGTGATGTTTTTAAAGTCTAGCCATATACTACATTTATCATCTTTTTCATTTACATATAAAATAAAGGAGACAGTAAAACCAAAAAGATTTTGTTTGACTGAAGAAGAGGCCATCTTCAGTACTGAGAATCAACATAAATCTATTACAGGGTACTATCAGCAAGCTTGTAAACATATCAAATATCCATATCGACCACTGACTAGGTCTGAAATCAAGATATGGGTTGGATTTAAGAGTTTTTGGTGGGCTGAGAGTGTCGGAGTGCAAAGTGAATGGTGTGTTTGCTTCCATCATCTCATCAAATCAAGTGTTGGACTGCGATTCAGTGGCTCTCTGGCAGGAAGACAGCTAGTTAGCAATGTGAAGGGTCCTCTGCACCCAATCAGGAGACTATACTGGGATCATGTCATGTGGCATAGAGGTCATACTGTGAATAGGAACTCAGTCATTGTTTCAAAGGTCCTCTGCTCTCTGAAACTCTATTTCTTATGGTAGGCTGAAAAATGTTAGTAAATAAAGTCAAATCATACAGATGCTTCCACTTCTGCCAATATAACTGGTTGCTACTTACTGATCATAGAATCCCTACAGTGTGGATACAGGCCCTTTGGCACAACAAGACCACACTGGCTCTCATTGCATCCCACCCAGGCCCATCCCCCTATAACCCACCTACACATTCCTGAACACTGTGGGCAATTTAGAATGGCCAATCCACCTAGCCTGCACATCTTTGGACTGTGGGAACAAAATGGAGGAAACCCACACTGACACAGGGAGAATATGCAAACTCCACACAGACAGTCACCCAAGGCTGGAATTGAACTCTTGTCCCTAGCCCTGTGAGGCAGCAGTGCTAACCACTAAGCCATCATGTCACTCCATATGGCAGCATTTTTCTTCCACTGTCGTGTTGCTTCATTATATCTGCTGTAAAACATTCTCGTATGTTTTCCCCTGTTCACACCTGTGAAAGGAAAAATGGGTACATACGATTCTTTCACAAACTCATCAATTCATAATTTCAAAATGGCACCTGGGCTCCTAATTTCAATGCCGACATGATCTCTCTGATTTCTGAAGCTGAACCGTGATATTGTTCACCCAATATCTCAGGCTGGTAGGGACTGGCCTGCCCAATTTATCGCCATAAAGCACAGCTAAACACTGTGTTCTAAGTTTAAAAAAGAAACTAAAAAGCTCTGTATTTGCAAAGAATCATAGTATCAATGCAAAGTATAGAAATGTTCAATGTGGCTGGTTGACAGGATTTCACAAACTTTCCCACCACTCTTGAATTGCTAATTCTACTTTGTGACACTCTGGATAACCACAGTCAGCAGAACAACAGCTATTACTCTTCAGGACCTACAGCCCAAG